AAGCTAATTGTGATAATTATGTTAGAATTTGAACTTATGCGAATACCACTTCATCCCAGGAGCATTCATATTAAATAATTGTGAATCAAAACTGAATAAAAGCGGAGGCGTACCGAACTTCATGAATTGAGAACTCTCGTGTTCTTCAGCTTTTTTGAGTGATGATGACTTCTAAACAATCTTGTTGGACTGGTATGGTCTTCCAAACGATCGAAACCTTATAGCAGATTTTTGTATTGCATATAGTATGTTCTCCATATGTTTTTCTGAAATGAAGAGGATGACGCTTTTAAAGGGGGAAAGCGCCTTTTCGGAAATTGCTGGTACATTTTCGTCGTTTTGGGCCATAACCAAATAAATAAGACTTATTAATTTTCAGTTTGGTCCGTCAACAAACAGAAAATCCATAATGCTATCTACACTTTTAAATCCATAACAATTTGATACTCTCTTTATTCAAATTACAAATTAATTAGTAGATCACTTTAATACAATAATATTATAACATCTATACACATTTAATTTACATATGTTGTCAAATATAATAATTCTAACAAATTAGTCCCTAACTCCCTATAAATGTTGGATAGTAAGAAAATGTTTTGTTACAAATACGTGTATATATATAGGATCATATGAGAATGATATATAGTGAAAGAAATGAGAATAAACATGTACCATTGGATCTAGCATATCAAAGGTCATGATCAAGTCAAAATTTAAATATGAGAGTCAAACATGCAATGGCAAATTTATAAATAAGTATATATTTCCAGGTCAATGTACACAATTGACCAATAATTAAGGGCAATATAGGTATTACACATAACACACATGACAGTGGGCCCACACAAACAAATATCGGTCCTCTTTCAGTCTCTCTCTCTCTCTCTCTCTATCTTTTCCGCTCTCTCGCTCGTGTCTCTCTCCCTCTCTCGCACCACCGGTCACACTGCTTCACGGCGGCAGTTACCCGCGGAACTCGCCCCACGGCAGTAGAACGACTTCGGTTCACCGTCGACATCATTCTCGTGGCTGCGTTGCGACCTCCGCCGTGAACAGCGTCGGCGATGAACCAGCTATTCCACTGATTTCT